TCCTTCGTTTTCATCCCAGCAATTAATTCCCCCGTTGACTAATGTCCATTAGCCAGATGAAGGTAATAAGTCAGGTCAGCGTAACAAACGACGCGTCTCCCGGCAGATATTCCAGGCATCCTGGCCGAGTCAAGCGACGTGCGTGCTTATGTCATTAACTCTTGTAGGATGACGTAGTCGTTGAGTGGAAATGATTTGTTTACTTACCAACTGTTAAAATGGTTGACGTAATTTTGTAATGAGCGATTTATTTAATTACGTTAAGTCTTTCTTAAAATCTTTAGTGCGAATTAATTTAAGGTGTAGAATGGTGCTAAACTGCTTAAAATAATGTTGATATTGTAACTCGTATTCAAAAATAAAATACTCTACTTGTATCGGTGTATCCAAAAATGTAAAAGACAAAAAGTCACCGAAATAGAGGAAAAAGATTTTACAGTGCCTGGAACAGGTACTTAAATAGATATGTAAGTTGATTCGAATACTAAGATTGTCAAACCTGTAAACGAATTTTTAGAGAATGAGCAAGTATGTTATTCTCACATTATAACAACAACAGATATCATTTTGGTGTTTCCATAACTCATGGTCACCCCACACTACTAAACTAGCCACTGGGCGTAATATCTAATATCGCACATCATTCGCATACTCGACTGGGCACGGCTAGATAAGCGCTCCCTAGTTAGGCAGTTTCCCAGTACCCTAATGACTTCATCTGCTGATGATGGACGAAGATTCGGAAAGTCTACGACAGTCGTAGCTCTTACGCAAGTATTCACAAACGATGCTTGCTTAAGTGAAGCAGCAAATCGAACGCACAGCGTTGAATAGAGCTCTGTGATTGGTTCGTGTGTGACCCTGTGCGTCCTCGCGCACTGTGAGACCTCATAGTAATGTTTGTGAATACGGGCGTTAGACTTTCTGAACTTCCGTCCATCGTAGTCGTCGTACGACTACAAGAACTACACTATAACTCCATAAACTTCAGACAGAACGGTGCATTGCACTTTTTGATACTAAGAGTAGGCGCACACCGTTGATTTTTCGTCAGCCGATAATTTAGTCAGGCTGTTGATCAGTATGGGCATGTATGGGAGTGCGCATACTACGCCGATTCGATTTGGCCGATTCTTCATACAATTTGAAATCGGGCACAACTATCGGCCAACTAAAAATCAACGGTGTGCGCCTACTCTAAGATTGGTAGGTATGAGTTTTTTGCCTGGCTTCTGCCAGCCACTAATCAACTACCAACATCACTACTCTTAAAAAACGCCATGGTATTTTAGAGTTCCACTCAGTTCAACTTTTTATAAATAATTATCTCCCAAATAAGCTAATGTTTATAGCAGTAATAAAAGACATCAATTAAGGTTAAATACATTATTTAGTGACCAACTTCTTTCCCGTATACGATCTTGATCTTATTAGTTCAATTACTTAACTCTAGCCCCAATATTTCACGTAAAGTATCGATGCGGGCCTAAAAAATGATACCGAAAGCCTATAAACAAGCATTAGTGGATCGATGTGTGTTCCTTAAGAGCCCCATCTCCAATGAACATACGGCCGTGCCGAAGTGTATATCAACCATTTTATGACCCAGGTCTTTGCGCCACGTTGGACTAGAAATGTTGTAAACAGGTTGTATTATACTTTCCGAATAGATTTAAATATTCAGTGATAGAGTCATGGTTTTAGGAATATTTTTAAATGAAATGTAGTTTCAATTTTGTAAATAAATTTACATGGCATCTTTAATTCGATTTCTGATTTACTTTTAAACGCCTAACTTTAGCGATGATCATATTATTTAACATAGCTTTTTTCGACGGGCTGGCCTGATTTTTTCTTCAGATGCAATCTAGGACGGTGTCTACATACCTATTTAGTAAACGATTTGATTTTTCACTCATGCCTTTCTGGCTGCATCTAAATTAAATTTCGGAAACAGTTTTTTAGAGAAAGGCATGAGTGAAAAATAAAATCGTTTACTAAATAAATAGGTGTGTAGAATAGTAATTCTATACAGTCAGTTAATATTTCCGTAGCATTCTGCACTTTCCGGAGTAATTTACCACGGTCATCAGTGCAGCTTTAATGGAAGCTTGTGTGATTTGCTGCTCCGAAGCTTCTGTAAAGTGCAGTAACTGAGCATTAACTGAAGGATTCATGCACTCCCATTTCATAAGTGCTCACTGGGTTAAACGTTCTGTCTGGAGTTACGAGCACTTAAAGTATGTAGGTGCCCTAAGTATGCATTTTGAGTATTTAAGTAAAAGGTTCGCTTTACTAGCAAGACCCTAATATTTAGAAGTAGGTATATTAATCAAGTAGGTATATTAATATGCCAATGAAAACTGATGTAAACTATAATCATATACTGCTACTTCATCTCCTAAAACATTAGGAATTAAATATTAGGCGTTATTACTAAATAAGATACCTAATAGATAAGGTAGGTAGCTAAAATGTGATTTCATGGGACGTAAAAGGGATGATGAAACTAATTCCTATGTCTCTCCCATGCTAAATGAACATTGTGTAGAATTTTTGTAGAACTACACAAAAAATATCTTTGGAACCATTTACGAGTACCTCCATGACGTAACTACTAAAGTAGGTACCTACCTATTCCTTTAAACAAGTTTGTTTTACTTATTTTACAAAATATATAATTTACAAGGTAAGCTCTATAACAAATACAGAAACATTTCGAGTCAGTCTGTCTGTGAGCGTACACTACCGATGTCTATTATTAGGCGCGCTGATTTACGCGAGCACTCGTAAAGTGTGGCATGGTGTAGACAGGGGTGTCGATCGTCTCACAAGAAATTCGGAACATTTTGCATACTGTCCCAGGGTCAAAAATATATAACTAAGTTAAATTGCATGTATACAAATGCAAGTTGCACACTCTTTAGGGCAATTAAGTCTGCCACCTTAATCTGTTTGTTAATACAGGAAATATAAATTAAAAGTAGATAGTATGCCATTATACTGCTGTCGTTGATGATAAGAAAGGACGCAAATAACAGCCGAGATCGGCTCAAAAAAAGTATGAAATGAAATAGTTTATTCTGTAATGTAGGCCCTTTCCAGGGCACTTATACACGTCACGTCCCAAATATAGCTTCGAGACAACATAAATGGGCTGGTGCTAATGAGAAGTGGCAAAGAACTCGAACTTGTAACTTACATGACACGTAATAAGTCTTGTAAAAAACTCTTCTTGTATAAAAACTTTATAAATTGTGGACAAACGATCAGTACGACCACGCAAGTAGTTAATTCTAGCAGTGATATAATGCCTAAGCCACTGAAAAAGCAGAAAATCCTGCTCTTAGGCCCTTCTCGGGGTAACTTAAAATAGGGCACTAACATTAGGTGAAACAACTATGTTTCCTGATAACCCTACACGCACCTGGGTGAGTGGGTTCACGAGAATCGTAGAGGCGTAAAAATAAATCCTACGTCACGGAATTACATATAGGTTTTTCTATAGACTCTTCGATCTGCAAGTTTATCATTAAAACCAAAATACACTCATACACTTAATGCTATTTCTGTGTATTGTTTCAATTGTATTTGCTTTCGTCGAAATAGCTTGTGTAAGTAGTTAGAAAGAAACCACCTTTATTTTGTGTGAAATTCTCAAAACCGCCGTTCTGGCTGTAGCTTGCTGAATCAGTATGGGAGAAAAAGGGCAAGGCGTGGCATTTGTTGGGAATAAGGAAGAGATACGCACAATAACAATAAAACTGCTAAATGTTAACGGTCGCTAAAAGATATAAAACTGGGTTATAACATTTGCGGTTGTAATCTGACTTTACCATGACATACCATTCTTTCCCATCAAAAAGTTACTACCTATAAAATAACGTTTACCTAATAAATAGCTAATAACACGTAGTTATCATCTCTAACCTAAGTACTTTCCAAAGTTAGACAATCGTCATCATCATCATCTTATAACAGTCCACTGCTGTACATAGGCATATAGGCGACCACCAGTACGCATCGTTTTGCTCTGTCATCGAAGGTAAATTATATCTTTACAATCATACTTATTGATACCCGCGAAATAAGCAGCATCTCTGGTAGGGTAGATGACGAAGGAGCATAATGTATGTTTGAATGCATTGAAAATACATTCAATGAGTCTTATGCACTTAAATAGATCCACTTACCTATGTACTTCCACGAGTCCAGATACATGCTAATGTTCATTAAATTAAAACATATGGCCACCGCAAGATCCGAACCCACAACCACATTACAGCTGTAACGAAAACTACTTACCTATTCCGAAAAAAATATATACGTCTGCTTATTTTAATCCTCAGTTTTAAACATGGCATAGCATCAGAAAATAATATTTACCGACATAAACATTCAATAATACTTACCTATCTATGTCAATGAAACATTTATCTACGGCCGACTTCTTCCTAATAATAACGTAAAAACACAAATAGCGGATCACAAATCGATGTGGCTCGCCTGAATATTGTATGGTGAGCTTCGTGAATGGACTGCTACCTAGCTCTACTACGAATTTAAAACGCTACTCCGAACCGTACCTACGAACGTAATGAACTAGGATAGGTAGGTCGTAGTTTGGTTACCTTACCTGCACTATTCCATTCCAGATCTTAAAGCTGTAATTAAATTGGCTTCATTCTATATTATGAATAAGAAAAGTATGCACCCTATATAAGTAACAATTTATTCAAAGTTTTGCGATTCATATTTGATAAATATCAGAGTATAAATAATTGTATTTCCTGTAGTTAGGTAGGTACACCTGTGCACAACAAACAACACTTCACGACAAAATATCGACGTTTCCTACGCTACGTGACCAACGCGACATATTTAAAATTTCATTCCAAGTGTAAAAGTTTGAAACTAGGTTTATTTCACATACAATTTTGTCTAACACTAGATGTTAAACTCATATCTCCTAATCGTTTTAATCACCTCGCATTAGTAAAAACTTATCGTTCACACCAGCCTCAAATCCTGAGCCAAACAACGCGAAACAGCAATAAAACAACTGTATAGTATCCCTCATTAGTGTAAAGGAGACGGGAGATCTCTGAATATAGCCGGGCTTAATTTCTTGGCGTGCAGCGACGGACTAATTAGTGTGTTAGACACAACATTAGAGCGGCAGAGAAATATAGAAAGTCAAGAGTGCAACTGAGACGGCGAGAGCCGGTGGCATACGTCCAAGATGAATTTGATGTTCCGGAAGAACTTCAGCGGAGAGAAGAGCATGGGCACTAGCGGGGGTGGAGGGAAGGCGAGGGGGGCGCTGGGTGCAGGGAGGAATGCCAAGCGGCGCGATCGCGAGCGGTACTCCTTCATGGAGGAAAACCACTACAAGACGCTGAAGACCCATCTGTTCCTCTCGGCGGCGCCCCGCTCCAGCGCGCAGTACAACGACGGCTCAGGTAACCCGTGACCAGGTTTACACAGTGACAGCCAGTGACGTGCCACTCACAACAGTTATTGTTTGTTTGCGAACTTCCGCTTCAAGTTTTGAACTGTTCGAATTTGCGGCAATAAAATAAGTGCGCCAGACGCGGTGTATTTTTGACGGACATGTTTCCCATCAGACGTGCTTGCTCATTAGTTACCAGCTGATGCGGAGCCGTCGAGCTATTAATACAAGCGTGAGACTGACGCCTTGTTTGTGCGTAAGCGGCCGACCGTGAAAAGGTAACAGATTTATGTAAATCCATGAACACGCAATGTTATCCATAGCTGGCTGAAACCGCCGAAAGCCGGTTTGAACGAGTTGATGGATTTGGCTCCATACGCAAGTCTCGAACGTCTATTTCAGTAATGCGGTATCAAACTACAACAAGAATGTATGCACAACAGTAATACTTTGAAACGCAAATATTATTGTCAAGCGCATTTGTTTTGATCACAGTTCCAATTTTTGTTAATTGTATCGGTTTTCCTATTAAGCCCGAGTATCAATCATGTTACAGCAAAAACATTCTAGTCTCTACTTCAGTGCTTACTGTAGCTTTCTTGTACAACAGGTGAGACAAGAGTATCAATGCAATTGAGCTCCTATGAACTGGCAATTGCAGACGAAACAACAGTCCTGAAGAACAAAATGTTAAAAACGTCTTCTTTCTGCTTCCAGAACGATGCGGCCCCGTTCTCGGCGGAGGGACCGGCCCCGAGCCAGAGCCGCCGCAGCCGCTGGTCACGCGGGAGCCGTCGGTGTCGCTCATGCGCTGGGACCGGCCCGCCACCGCCGCGACCTCCGACCGCCGACGCACCGAGCCCGTCTCGCTAGCGACGCTCGAACGCGACTGCTTCGTGATACCAGCGCACGCGCTCGAACGCTTCCTGCCTGATGGCGTACCGGTAAGTCATCAGCCAAGAATAACAAAGCATTGAAAACCACCTTCGACCGCCGGCGCACCGATCCAGTCTCGCTAGCGACCCTCGAGCGCGACTGCTTCGTGATACCAGCGCACGCGCTCGAACGCTTCCTGCCTGATGGCGTACCGGTAAGTTTTGCTTGAGCCAAAGGCAAAGCTAGATGCGCAGTCATGTTGAGACTAGCTGTAACCAACCAGGACTAGAAAGGCCCGTGATTCAAAAGGATAAAGAATTGAAAACCACCTCCGACCGCGCATGAGCCCGTCTCGCTAGCGACCCTCGAGCGCGACTGCTTCGTGATACCAGCGCACGCGCTCGAACGCTTCCTGCCTGATGGCGTACCGGTAAGCTTGTCTTCGAACTTAAACTAGATCTAAAGGCAAAGCCGTAGACGCGCAGCCATGATGAGGCTTGCTGTAACCAGGACTAGAAAGGCCCGTGATTCAAGGATAACAAAGCATTGAAAACCACCTCCGACCGCCGGCGCATGAGCCCGTCTCGCTAGCGACCCTCGAGCGCGACTGCTTCGTGATACCAGCGCACGCGCTCGAACGCTTCCTGCCTGATGGCGTACCGGTAAGTCCTAGCTCTGAACTTAAACTACATAGATCTAAAGGCCTTAGATGCGCAGCCATGATGAGGCTTGCTTTAACCAGGAATAGAAAGGCCCGTGATCTAAGGATAACAAAGCATTGCTTCGACCGCCGGCACACCGAGCCCGTCTCGCTAGCGACCCTCGAGCGCGACTGCTTCGTGATACCAGCGCACGCGCTCGAACGCTTCCTGCCTGATGGCGTACCGGTAAGTTTTGTCTTCAAACTTCAACTAGAGCCAAAGGCAGCCTTAGATGGATGGCTGCGCAGCAATGGTGAGGCTTGCTTGAAACAGGACTAGAAAGACCCGTAATCCAAAAGGATAAAAAAGCATTGAAAACCACCTTCGACCGCCGGCGCACCGAGCCGGTCTCGCTAGCAACGCTCGAGCGCGACTGCTTCGTGATACCAGCGCACGCGCTCGAACGCTTCCTGCCTGATGGCGTACCGGTAAGTCTTGACTTCGAACTTAAACTAGATCTAAAGGCAAAGCTAGATCCGTAGCCATGTTGAGGCTTGCTGTAACCAGGACTAGAAAGGCCCGTAATCCAAAGGATAACAAAGCATTGACAACATTGCGGCCCACATTTTGCAATCTTGATGATTTGGTTTATGTGAATTCTAGGTAGTTTAACAAAGGCAGACTTCGGTACCTTATTAACATAATTTTTATTTCAATTCCAGCTCCCAGTGCCACCCCCAACTCCCGAAAAAGGAGGACTAACGAAGACTGTTCCAAGTTCCCTCAGCATACTGGAGATAGCTGACCCCAAGCTTTGTATATTGGCTCACCTGATGAGCCCTTTAGAGCCCATAGAGCCCATACTGGAGTCTCCTCTGGCCAAGCCTCTGATACGGCAAAAGACGGCCGCAGGAGAGCTCCTGAGTGACGTGGCTCAGGCGAACACAGCGGTGGGCGGGATGCTTCTAGCAAACATGGAAAAGAACGCGGAGTTTCCATTCATATCTTACTATGTGATAAATACGACACAAACGGATCCTTTGCTTTTCTACAACAACATGAGGAGTGCGTCTTTGAACAAGTTTGACCCGAAGACGATCAGGTACTCGGCTGCGCACACGCTGGATCTCTATAGCGAGGTGGCGATGATATGCCGGCCGCCTTTCAACGACCTCGCCGGGGGACCCAAGAAGTCGCATACCCCTACTACAGGCTTCATTATTAGCGTTTATAAGGTGAGAATATTTTTTATGATGACGGAAGAATTTATGACACGGTGTAACTTTATCAGGAAGTAACATAGTACGAGTAGGTATAATACCACTTTCAGCTGTTTCAAGTTTGTCTTAATCTTGCATCAACATCTTTGCTAAAGTACGGCCAACTAGCAGCGATACAAAAGGTTGATACGACTCTCGAGTTGACAATATATTCTGTCTCTTCCCATCTTGTGTATTTGTCGTAATGTCTCGTTCTCCCGCCAAAAATGTCAAAGTCAGAGGGGTTCACTCACTCATGACATTGGGTTTGTTTACATTTGGTATCGCTTCTCGTTGGCCGTACTTTACTCGATATCTAATGCTACAGGCATCTACCTAGTCCTTACTTCAACTAAAACTACTTACAACTAAACTTTCTACACATTTCTGACAGACACTAACCTTTTTCCAGGTCTTCGAAGGCGACGACGGCGAGCGTTTCGAGAGGAACTGGCTGTACTGGACCGGCGCTCGAATGCTGTACCGGCACCTACCCCACTCTGTGGGCATGAGGAAGATAGCTTTGCACAAATCCGTAGCCTCTCATGGCGACAAAATGTACTTGTTGGTGTGTGAGTGCGCCAACTTGTTGGACGACTTGTCAGGCGCCTCCATGTTGGTGACGGCTCTCCGCGCGCGGTTGTGTGGGTATACCGGGCTATACCGGCCTATACAGACGTTCTAGTAGAAGGATGGCCTGAAGGCCAGTAGGTATGTCCGAGGGCACTTGAGGATTAAGTTTTGCGCGTTTTAATTGTACCGTCATTTTTAATGCCAACCAGTGCTATACTTAATTTTAGACTTTTGCGTTGCACAATTTAATTAAATTAAACAGGTTTTAACGCGATACGCGGATAGGTAATATTGAAATATTACCTATATTTGCCTGACGTTTCGACCGCGTTGCACGGGCCGCGGTCACAGGCTGACTGGAGCGTCGAGTGCGCGATCCGTATGGTGGGTAGAATCATCTAATTCTACCCCCATAATATTTCCCAAGTTAAAACATTCGTCACAATGTGATGTATAGAGATAAGTGTTTTACTTTTAAGACTGTTATCGTTTTCAGGATGAAAGTTAATAAAAATAATATTTTTTATCTAAGCAGAAATTGGGCATCATGTCCGAAAACTAAAAAATGTACTAAACGTCTTTTTTGTTGTGGTACTCACTTTAAAAGCAATTTTCAGCAGAAGTCGTTAATTTACAATAATTTATTATGCTTTGATGAAATAAACTTACGTGCCTAACAATTTTCAAATCCTAAGCGATAAAATTAGTAGTCACTGAAAAAAGTTTTAACCATGTTTCATTTAACTACGCGGGCTTTATTAAAATTCGAATACGTGACGCAAAATATAATTACCTATGTAAAAGATCCTCAAGTGTACCAGCAGGTCTCAATTCAAAATTGTTCATAGAGCACAAGTTGTGAACAAAATGGACCAAAATAATATATTTAATGGTAAGAAAGCTGAAAAATGTATGATTGGTAACAAACGAATGATTCGAGCCGACGTGTTCCACTCCTATAGGAGATAACTTAGAGTAAGATTTACAATCTTTAATAAATTCAGATTTTAATTACATAAGTAAGTGAACGCAATAATGATGCTTTTCTTTCGTCTTAAAATTTTCGTCTGTAATGAATCGAATTCCACTCGATGCTTTTTGAGACTTGGCTATAAAATTTTGACAATCAATAACTTAGAATCTGATAATATGTTAGGATTACTGTTTTTCATGCACACTTTTCCTTTAAGAGTTTAAATGCAGACTATAATTTGCCTAGTGGCTACGTCTCCGGCGAATTTGACTGCGTAGGTACATCTAAATCTAAAGGTAAAGGTACTGTGTGCAGTATATATATATTCGTCACACGTTTGTGAGTTCCATACTACATGTTATTCATATATAACAAAAATAAAAAAATAACGCATTTACAAGTACTTTTTTGGTTTTGTAACGAATTTTCGACTCGACTTTTGGCAAATCGAAGATACACCCACGCCACTTAGCAATGTGTCTTTACCTAAAATCGTGCACGCTTATATTCATATTTTCCTTTCGATTGTCTCACTGCCAAGTTCAGAATGAAGAATTGACAATAATTATTTATTTGTCTTTTGATGTGTAAGTGCGGTTTAAGTATCTTAGTTGTTTTAAAATACATTGTAAAGAGTCGGTTTATGCTAAAACAGAACCTTATTACAATGAGTGTCATTACGATGAGTCATCACTCTTAAAAATCTTAATCCTTCTGCGGAATCAAAAATTCTAGGCTTATTTGATTATTATTGTAATAAGGTTTTACTTACCAGAGGTTATTAAAGAACCTCAGCAGGTTTATAAAGAAGCTATGTTACTGATATTTCTATAGAAAGTATGTCGTAATATTGCTTGTCTTCCAAAAGAGAAGAGTACAACATATACGTTCTGTCATTATTTTCGATCCAGTTTTACTCGTAGTTCCTTACATATCTTGTGATACATATCATTCTATATATTTGTTTCATAAGAATATATTTTTGACATATACGCACCATTTCATACTGTAACTTTAGTACAGTCGCATCGAATATTACTTAACAAATGTCTTGCTTTGTATTATTAGTTTGACGGACAAGAATATTCTAAATTATAATGTAATAAATATAAATAATATACAGTTTCATTGATAATAATATTCAGTGTTTAATGTCTAACTAACCGAAAGATTTTTGAACATTTTATTTTAAAAATGTAAAAATCAGACATTATTTTTTATTATTGTAATTACTTCTTACATGAAAAAAGGGTTCATAAAATTAAAAGTACAGTAGAACGCCGATTATCCGAATTAATTGGGACCGGGGTCGATTCGGATAATCGAAAATTCGGTTAATCGGACATAGACTGGTAATAAAGAAAAAACGTGTAAAAAACGAACTGTCACACATAGAATAAACTTTATTAACTGAGTTTAGAGTTCTACAACAACGCCCAGTTGAAAAATATCTAAACTCCTGTGAGTTTCAACTTGTTACAATACAACTAACAAAAATTACTAGGTTTTAATTTTTTATATTACGCTTAGGACCGATTCGGATAATTGGCGATTCGGTTAATCGGCGTTCGGATAATCGGCGTTCTACTGTATGACGAATAGTCTGTACAGGCTAAGCAGGTACAATCTTTAAAGAAAATCCGTGACAGTGGGGAGGTATTTTATGTAAGAAATAATTACAATATTAGGTACTTATGTAATTTAGCATTATGTTTTTCAATATTATAATCTTTATAGTGTTCGTAAATTGAATTCTAAAAATTTAATTATTTTAGTGACATGAAATATTCACGCAACTACTTACTTAGTTATCAAAATTGCTTCATTCGATGCTAAAAAAGAATGAAATCAATCCAAAAAATATTGAATTAGGCGAAAGTAAAGTTATTTCAAAGTTTTTTTTATTAAATATGAACTAGATGTCTAGAATTAATTTTAACTAGATTGAAACAAAATAGATAACATACCTAAAATTATATTAAAGGTATCACTTACGTTATAAAGAACAAAGTGAAAATATTATAATAATGACGCTACTGCTTTAAGATTTTTATTAATAGAAATAATAAAAATAAATAAAGATAAAATTTTACTGTAACTTTTTATGGATAAATATAAAAAGTTCTATTATGTAATTAATTATACACTAAATTAGTTAATAGATCTGCACAAATCATAATATTATATTGATATTTATGAAAGTAAAACTATCTATGTAAGTCATGGGTCAAAAAAAATGTTTGATGTTACTTGATACCAAAGAATGTAAGTAATTTGTATTAGATTCGACATCTTCCATGAGAAACAACTTCATTTAGAAATCGCATTGTATTTTTTTTAATCTCATCAATCAACACTTATTACAATTTTCAAATTATTAATAATAATCTGCTTCAATACGGAAAATAATAAAAATTAAGGAAACTGTCTTATCACGGCCGTATCAATGCGATTTTTAATTCAATAATTTAAAAAAATACATGTATTTTGGATGACCAAGGATAATGTATGATGTTCAACATTTTATTAAGATTTAAAGTGCGCACATAATGTTTGGCTTCTGAAAGTATGTAAGTTTATATTCTGAAAAATAAGTTTATCAAATATTATAAAATACTATAATGACTGCAAGTGCCATAACAATACATATTATTGTATTGTCGTAGTCTACTAAATACAGACCAACAACCAGTCCATAATATCGAATACCCGGAAATGTAGCTTTACAACAATATACTTTACCATGTATCTTAAATTTTTACAGAATAAAAAGCAATAGACGTCTTGATAGCAGCTTACCTTAAGAGGCTAGTGGGTTGAATTAATATGTTTGAAAAAGTTGTTAAAGCTACATTTTAAAAATTGTTATTATAGTTTATTTGCTATGGTGCTAATTCTAGTCAATTTATAGATAACTAAACAGAAAGCTTGCAATATACGTGTATAAACAATTAATATAATTTTTAAATCCACGTTATTTTTAATTTCTTATTATGGATCAAATAAAATTATAATAGAATGTCGCCTTTTTTAGTGATACTCAAAAGTGGACTTTTACTATAGAAATCTGCGTTTACGTGATCAAAGTCTCGCAATACATTTTTATGGGTTTAACATTACATTTTACATCTTTGATTGATTATTTTTTAATAAATATACCAACAAGTTGCCTGAATTCATAAAGTATCACTACTAGAACATATTAACACCAAATAGTTCATTGATTTGTATTTGTACTTGCTTAATATAAACTTTAAAATCCTATCATAAAATGCTTGAATAGTATAAAAACTTTACCCAAAATAAATTCCTACAATACCATGGAATGACAACTGTTAATATAGGTAGGTACAGTTTTGTATGAGAACTTTGCATGACTTGTGTAAAAAGGAATCCTCAACAAAACAAGAGTTTATACCTTTATTATATTTGTATATTCCAAGATATTAATAAATAATGATAATAGCCGGCAACAACGAAAAATAAAATCGAAAAGAATGTATAACTTTTGCTGTTAAGTGTACCTAAAAGTTTAAGGATATTCGAATGCATTTTAGAAAATTTANGGTAAAAACGCGATTTTAATTCTATAATAGTTAATTGAATGCATTCGAATATCAGAATGATTTCATAGTTTTGTCAGAATACAAAAATAGAGAATGGAATTTAGATGTTAAAGATTTTATTATGGGCTAATACTAATATTAGGTGGTTTCGTTGTTTAGCTTATAAAGCTAGTTTGCAATAAGGGCTAAGCTCCTTGCATAGAATTAATAGATTGTTTAATTGAATTTCAATTATTTTTGTAATAAAATGATATGAAAAGGACTTTATTTTATTTAACAACCTAACACCTTTTTCCTGTGGTGCAGAAAGTTTTCGTAATTGTGCCCGCAGCCAAACAAACCGGCATGCGTGTAACCCGCGAATTGCCTTTTTCTTGTGATGCGGATTAGCCGCGTGAAACATATGAAATAACTAGCTTCCCGCCCGCCGCTTCGCCCGCGTGGAATTTTGTCTGTCACAGAAAAACTTTATCGCACGCATCCCTGTTTCAAAAACCAGGATAAAAACTATCCTATGTCCTTTCCCGGGATTCAAACTATCTCTATGCCTTTCATCAAAATCGGTTTAGTGGTTTAGACGTGAAAGCAAGACAGACAGAGTTACTTTCTATTGTTATTTCTATTTCTAGTATAGATTCTACGTAGAAGTACGTAGTTTCTAGTAAGAAGTGCAGTATAATAAGGCAGATAATTCTGCACTTAGAATACTGCTATTGCTTGTTTTGATTATTAATAAAGGTAAAAGTATTATCTAATGGGACAGGAGGCAAACGAGCAAACAAAAGTTGTAATAAATTTAAAAATATGTATGTTAATTATTATTTTTTATTTGAACTGAACAATATTTACAAGGTTTATCAAAATCACAACATAAATCTATTCTATTTTGTTTTGCCTACATACCATTACCAATTTAGTAGCCCTTGTGACCTCTAAATCTTCTCCGATTGTCAAGCTAAAAATAAAGAATAATATTATTAAATAATAGAAGATTGATGTGTCAATAAGCAGTAAGAAAATTGTATGAGTTTGAATCCTGCTGGAGTCTTAGATTATTAGAGCTACATTGCAAACATGCTACATTTAGCCTACATACTTTAGTATGGCTACCTACATATGAATATAATTTCCGGCACATTTTAATAAATTATAAATAAATGTTATTTATTCACACCGTTTGAATACTTACTAAGGATCGTTTACATTCGAAGAAAGTTCTCCGCAACTGAGCACATTCATCAGGTACTATGCCGTCTCGTAAGCACTCTCGTGGAGTCATTTTATTCTGTAACAATTACACATTTATGTTGCAAAAATACTAACATTTCTATATTTATTGCTATATTTACGAAAGTATAGACCGAATAGTAACCTTTTTACAGCAGTCGCTGGCTAGTAAACACATCTTGAGATCTGCTCGAATGTCAGCACAGGGCGACTTGTCCACTAGCCCAATTTCATCTGGAGCGTATGTTGTGACCATATTTATTCAATTACCAAGTTTACAATGGTCTAAAATGCAAGAAAACCTAATTTATTTGTTGACAAATTGTGTAGGGCGAACAATTCAGTTTTACGTCAAAAACAGCTGACTGACACTCAGACACTGACAGCAAACGTCAAATCAGTCAGGCCGCACAGATATTTTTGGACCTTTTCATTTTATCATTTTAGTTCGAGATTATTATAGTAGATCTAGGAAAAAACATAGCATACTTTAATTACTAATAGTATAAACACATTTTTTTAAAGGAGAATACGCGCTCGATAGAGTAAAAATGTAACAAACAGAAATTCATCCGTCTTGTATGGTAATGGCTGTTTTGGAATCGCTCAAGTCTTTTTGTCCAAAGCCGTAAAAAAAATTTTTTTTGACAAGCAGCTGCTTGTGACGTGATGATGATGGTTGATTGATTTGTCATTTGATTTTGATGTTATTGTATTTTGTTACACGGTTCAAAAGTCGCAATGATTGTTTTTTAACTCTTCAAAATGTTTAAAATATTACCAGTATTTAGTAGAAATCTCTCTCACGTTTGTAGTTTGAAACCTTACAAAGAGACAAAATGGCTAATGCCGTACGGGAATCCTACGGGTATTTATGTGTACAATTGTGTCGCCGACCAGAAAGTTCCTGTGATCCTGAGCGATCCTCACATCGCCACCTGGTATTCTTGTGGACCCACCGTCTACGACTCGGCCCACATAGGGCATGCCAGCTGCTACGTTAAGCTAGACATCATTCAAAGGATACTCAAATCATTTTTCAACATGAAACTAGTCACAGCCATGGGAGTCACCGACATCGACGATAAGATTATCAAAAAAGGTAACGACACTAAAACGGATTTTAAAACAGTCGCGAAGAAGTTTGAACACGAATTCTGGCTCGATATGGCCAGTCTCAACATCGAAAAGCCTCTTATAATCACCCGAGTATCGGAGCATATCAGTTCTATTGAGGGTTTTATTAAAAAAATAATCGATTCTGGTATGGCTTATGTTACTCCAGATGGATCTGTGTACTTTGACACAAGTAAGTATCCATCCTATGGGAAATTACAAAGGATGCAGGAGTCAGGTGAACCTTCAAATGATTACAAGAGAAACAAGATGGACTTTGCAATCTGGAAAGGTCATAAACCAGGTGAGCCGTCTTGGCCTGTTTCTTGGGGGGAGGGTCGGCCCGGCTGGCACATTGAATGCTCAGCGATGGTCAGCAAAATATTTGGTTCACAAATTGACTTTCATGCAGGAGGTATAGATCTGCAATTCCCACACCATGAGAATGAAGAGGCACAGTCCTGTGCCTACCACAACTCCCAGCAGTGGGCCAATTACTGGATCCATGTTGGACACCTCCATGTAAAAGGAGACAGCAAAATGTCAAAATCACTAAAGAACACAATTTCCATACCACACTTGTTAGAAAAGTACAGTGCAGACACCTTTAGAATGGCATGCCTTATGTCTAACTACAGGTACCCCCTGGAATATAGCGATGAAGTCATGAAAACAGCTGAAGAAACACTGAAAAAATTCAAGTTCTTCCTGAAAGATGTACTTGTGTATGTGAACAATAATGCCACACAGAGCGGGGAGTACAGAGACAAATTGCTAGATGATTTGCAGAAAGCAGAAGATGCAAACTTGGAATTTTTGAAATCAGATTTTGACACTGCTTCATGTATTAATAATGTGCTCAGTTTAATTTCAAGTACAAACAAAATTATGAAAATGCATACAACAGAGTACTACCCAGTTCCCATAATTTTAATAGCTGAATATGTGACGAGTTTTCTGACCAAGTTTGGTCTGACGTTGAATGAAACTGCACAGAATGAGGTGTCAAACTCTCTCATTGACACGTTGGTTGAATTCAGACATGTAGTCAGACAAAATGCTTTGGCAAAGAAAGACAAAGAACTTCTTAGTGCTTGTGACATGGTACGAGATAAAATGAAATCATCAAAAATCCAGATCAATGACAGTAGTAAAACAGCCTCCTGGGTTTTCACTAAATAACTTTTTCTACATACATTGTATACTATGTTCCCTGTCTGTATACTATGAAATTCTTATGACTTTGTTATTTTTATTTAGCTCTCTTATAATATTACAAAAAGTACTTTTTATTCCTCAATTTGTTTCATAATATCTTTCTTTGATAATGAAAGGATTTACCTAATCCTTCCTACAAGATAATGTGAAATAATGTAAGCAATGAAAATTTTTTGATTATTCAGACAACAAAATAAGTCATAGTTAGATGGTGCAACTAAGCCTTAAATGTCTAAAATCCTAGACAAAGAATGCCAATGTATCTGTACAAACAAATGTATATTTTATTTAGTGGTGTTTTGTAATATATTAAGTAGTTATTGTATTATTATTTTATTAAGTACAAAATAATGTTAAGTGACATAAGTACACCTACATAAAATAAAGTGAAAGCTTATTACAAATCTATATTTATTTTATTTAAATAAAATACAAAAGCTTTTATGGCAAGTATATATTATTATGATGTTTACATTGTTCTCATTTTCAAATACTTTAGTTCAAGTTCTATTCACACTATTTAACGTGTAACGTTGAGAGGACAGTTAAAAGAATGCCTTAGTTAATGTCAGTCTTATATAATTTCTCAAATCATAACGCAATTGAGTTTCTTTGTTCGAACCAATAGTGAGGCGCATCCGATTAAGTACAAATCGGCTGATATTCATGCAGGTTTCAATGACTAGACCCGAACATTAGCCGTGGGCTTAGATTAAAACAAAAAGGGAAGATACTGCATTAGCGTCTTGAAAGTGGGCCGCATAAATTAGGTCCGCATGCACACTACTTCGCTTTCGTGTTTATTCCCGTTGTTCCCACAGGTGGGAATTTAATTACATTACATTTATTATTTTTTTATTCCCGTTGTCCCCACCAGTCAGAGTAGCGACAATGGTAAAAAATATGATTACAGTAGAATCCCGATTATCCGGATCAATTAAAACCAGGGGTGTTCTGGATAATCGAAAATCCGGATAATCGATTTCAAAGTAAAATCAAACAATAAATAACTTTACGATAGAAAGAGTTTTCAATACATCATATTTTAGAAATCTAAATTTTAGATAATTGGATTAATCCATTTCATTTAACAATGAACTAAGACGAAGTCCATACCGTGTACGGTGGCGGCGCCTTCCGTTTTTATAGGTCCAGACCCTAAATCGGTAATTAGAAACTGAAGAATGAGTCCGGATAATCGGATATCCGGATAATCGAGATTGTACTGTAATTTTTGTTGTCTCCACAAATCCATTGTGACGCGTCAACTATTAACCGCTAACTACTCTCGCACTAAACTTGCAGCTAACTCTATCTCGCTCACCGGTTCGATAAAGTGCAGCAAGACCTAATTAGTTCATACTGTATCTTCCCATTGTTTTGATCTCAGCCTGTAATTTTGTTTGATGCGCTCAGTTGGAATGCGATGCGTTTTTGTCTTGTATCATATGTTCCGCCTTATAAACTTTCCACGCGACGAGGTAGTCGCGCATCATCTTGAACAGTGTGTAGTAGTTGATGAAGAGCAGTATGAGGATCGACATGAAGTTGTGCCAGGCCAGTGAACTGAATAGCAGGCATAGTTCCAGCACGATGAAGGCCAGCTGTAGGACTAGTAGCAGGCACAGAAGCGTGGATGGGTTTATGAACACAGACTGTAAACAAAAACACATCAGGTTAATCACCATATAGTTCCAAAATACTGAACTGTCCTATGCATGACATTGACAGTGGGGCGCCACCGTCAGTACCGGATCGCTGGTTTCGATTTTTGCCATGTTGGAAACCATATAGTTGAACGATGGTAGCGCCCCCCTGTCATTGAGTTTGGTGGGACAGTTCAGCGTGGGTCATCTTTATCACGAGAACTCTCTTATCTAATTTCAAGTGTGACATGCTAATTTTGGGACATCCTGTATGTTTCAATTTGGATCTACTGCATACGAGTATAGCTAAAAAGGTATATCTATATTATCTATGATATTGTTTATTGTAGCATTGGTAGGAAGGACACCCACAAGGTGGACCGGCGACCTCATAAAGGTAGTAGGATTTCGCTGGATGCAGGCCGCTATCAACCGGCATTCGTAAATTGTGCCATGGTAGGGGACCGTATGAATGATATGAATATTGTGCATACCGGCACAGAAATAATGGGGGCAGGTCTATGTTTTTTGGAGGAATTTTTTGTAAGGTCGAAAGGGGGCGCGGCACAAATAAGTTTGGGAACCAATGAACTATGGTGTACTTACGTAGAACCGCGCGTGTCCTGCGACCACAGCACGCTGCAGGTCCATGCATGCTAGGGTGATTAATTACTATAGTAATTAGCCCATACATGGTTATTGGCATATACAGTGTGAGTCACGTTAAAGTGTACATATGAAAATTGATGAAACTAGACCTATTTTTATCGACAAAAAAGAGGTCAAAAAATTTTGAGATTTTTTTAAAAAAATTTATATAATTTTTTTCTTCCAATTACATATTGTAAAGAAAACGTAATAACTTTTAAACTAAGCGGTATATCCTGATAAAATAAAAACAGTAATAATGCTAAATAACAGGCGATACTAAAAAATACATACATACGTATATTGGATTGTTAATAAGGAAGAGACAAAAATATTCACTACATTGGACTGCATATTGCTCAGAAAATAATTTGTCTCTTTTCCTCTCTTAATAACTTCCATTAGGCTTGTTTCTTTTCATTTTAGGCAAGTTGGCCAATAACTATGTATTGGCTAATTACTATAGCGATCACCCTACATTGTCTATGGTACTTACGTAGAAGCGCGCGCGTCCACAGCACGCTGCGGGTCCATGCATGCTACATTGTCTATGGCATTTGTTCCCAAGACCTTTAAAGGGGGGCGCGGGCTATCCGTAAGAAACCTGCGACCGCTGAGAGAATGCATTCTAGACTGCTCGACACGACCAATAAATAATCTTGACTGGCGCGGAATTTTTCGTAAGGTCAAAAGCGGGCGCGGCTCAAATAAGTTTGGGAACCAATGGTCCGCTTTGCAATGGAGGGAAGTCGAACCTTAATTTCGAACTCCTCCTATGTTCTTCTGATTAATTTCGTTGCGGGTCCAATGACAGTTTAACTTTCCCCCGGGACAAACTTGACCTTCATTGGTTGGGTTTTTGTGGCGGTCAAGCTGTAGATCCTGGCTACACAGGAGTTGCAGTGGTGGGAACGAGAGGTGGGAATAGTCTCGTAACCAATGGTCTATGGTGTACTTACGTAGAACCGCGCGTGTCCACTGTTATTGGGCTGCGCAGCGACCGTGGGCGCGGCGGCGGCGTACGTGCGGCCTTGAAACGAGGCTAGTGCGCCTTGTGACCACAGCACGCTGCATATCCACAGTCCCACGTTAGGTTCTAAGGGAAAAAAAATTGTGTTACCCAAAGTAGCCAAAAAGTTCGCAACACGTCTTTGACAACCTATTTCAATGAGGGCTATCGTTTTTATATTTAACAGTTGGCACCCCTGGCGATTGACAGGACCTTACTCTACAGTGGCGCCATCTTGATGAGTGCAAATGCGATAGTCCTCCTACCACTTTAGCGCTCACCAGCTGGCGCCACTGTCTTCGCTACTAGCAAGTGACAGGACCTTACTCAGTGGCGGCGTAGCATGGGTTGGCACCTGGGGCGGCGATTGGTGCTGATGTGACATCTGGCGGATATCGGGAAAAAAGTTTGTGCAACCATACAATTTTCCTCTATGTCATAGCCTATGTCCACCAGTAGGGGCCAACGGGAACACACTAACTTTTTTGATAATGATTTTAGTTTTGCATAAGACATGGTATAAAGGTGTGGATAAGTATTGTAAGTAATTAACGCACCTATACTAGTACTGTGAAGGCGCCAGCTGCCAAGATGTATCGCAGAGCGGTGCAACACGTCACAATACGTCGCTGGTAGCAACTGGTGCGCGTAGCGGCCGAACAGACAGCCCCATACGAACACTACTTGTTGCGACGCGCCGTACACGTCGTAGTAGAGATACGACTGGAAATAATAAGTAAACTTTTTAATAAGAATATGGTTTAAACTTTAAATAATAGGGTTGTTTCCTGGGTAAATAAGCAAGTTTGAATTAGTCCGTCCAGTTAACTTATCAAATAATACTTGACACGTTTTTTTGACTTTTTCAAAATAATGAAAATTTATGTTAGAAATGAGTGCAGTATACTATTTAGAAACTTAGATTTATTACCTTTATTTCAAAAAAGGCAACTGTCACTGATTGGTCTATAGCAGTGGTTCTTAACCGGTGGTCCACGGACCACTGGTGGTCCCTGGAGGCATTCCAAGTGGTCCACGAAGTGCACTTGCACACCTTGGTCAAAACCACTTTTAACTGATTTTTGCAGTCAAACTGGTTTTGACCGATTATGAGGTGGTCTCTGACAAGACAGAAATTTGGTAAAATGGTCCCTCATGACATAAAGGTTAAGAACCACTGGTCTATACAGTACAGTAAAGAAAGGATTTTCTAAAGTATTGGAAAGTTGAAAAACAGACTACTGTATAATTTTTTTGTGACTACTGCTACTGATTGGTTGGCTCCATGACCCTAACTGTATGTAGTGAGATAACAATATCTACTCGTAATTAAATACAAACCTCAAATGTGTTTTGTTATTTCCTGTTCAAATAGATAAAATAATTTTAACGGTTCATTGTGATGTGGTCTAATATTAAACTTTACTAAATAAATAAATGGTTAGTCACATTCTATCATATTGAATCCTGTTTGATGAAAACAGAGTGTGGCCTAGCAGCCTAGACAAAGTAAAAAAGTAACATCACTTGCTTCATGGAGCAAAGTAAATAATGAAGTACAGGTCCCAAGGCAATACTTTAGATAATGAATGATGTCATAGAAATATTATTATGATGATGACCCACCTGTGCAAAACAGCACGGTATAAAACTAGAATAGTACGCTCCAGCTACCGAGTTGAACAATATTTTCTTGATCCTCAAGTTGAAGTCTTCCCTTAATGTGTCTGCTTCCTGACGCACGTCCGAAGGCACGTGGCTACAGCAGTGCAACGGTGGTGGGCCCGAGTTCAGTTCGAGCAATGGACTCGATTGGAAGCCAAACAGGACGACGTAGATTACTATTCTGAAAGAAATATTCATTATATTATCTATACTAATATTATAAAGCTGAAGACTTTGTTTGTTTGTTTACTTGAACGCGCTAATCTCAGGAACTACTGGCCCAATTTGAAAAATTCTTTCAGTGTTAGAAAGCCCATTTATCGAGGAAGGCTATAGGCTATATACCATCATGCTACGAGTAATAGGAGCAGAGCAACAATGAAAAATGTTGCAGAAACGAGTATTTACGCGTACAAAGTCGCGGGCACAGCTAGTTAGACAATAAAATGGTGTCTTATAAAAAAATATAGACACGAGACAAGTTAGTGGTCACAAATGCAGTTGGAGGTATCATTGACTAGTTCTTTTGTTGGCGATATTATTATGTATTTAATGCCTCCGAAATGGACCATATATTAAGAGATTAGTTACAAGATCTTAAGTAATAAAATACTTACGGATAACACAAGTAGAATAATTTAACAATTGGATGCTTGAGCAAAATGAAATATGCACACCAAGCCAGAATACCCACTACCAGGCCCAGTATAAACATTCTGAAACAAAATAAAAAGTAAAACCATTAATAAACCTACATCTGTGAAAATTTAAAATCCCAAACATCTAGCTTTGATACTGAATAATGCATGTAATGTAGTGAAAATTATTTAAATCGTAATCTTTCTTTCTAATAATTTATTCAATACAGTTGAAAAATTGCAATACATTGAAATAAAATCTTAAATAAAAAGTTGTGGTACATGTTAATATTGGTGTTCCTATTATACATGGATAGCTTTTTCCCAAGGTTATCATATCATTCAGTTTGTCTTATATTACTGTTATGCAAGCAAGGTGCTAAGTGAAGAATCAAATTCAAATTCATTTATTTGCACAGAAACACACATAATCAAATCACAATTATTCAAGGCAATCTTCTTTCTTAAGGGCACTACAACTCATCCACCTATAGTCGCGAGACTGATTGCAGATGAAGCACAGAAGAAAAAAAATCTTCTTTCTACCACAAGCATGTTCCTTGCTATTATTATTCAGATTTAAAATCTTTATGTAATACTGGAATAAATACATTTAAATTTATATTACCTGGCTGCCGCTACAGTGGATGGCATCAACTTGGCTGTGACTACTGTCCTAATCAATGACAAGGTGGCTGCCATCACGAACCGCCTCGATATTAACGTCACAATGAACACAACCAGGTGTGGATCTATTAGGTAGAAGTTCTGCGGAAAAGATGAAAAAATATTTAAGTATCACACTTAAAAAATGCAAAAAAAATGCAACAAACTAATTTATGAGGAAAATCTAATAATTTCTCCCTTCATAAAATGTAATTTGAAGATCTTCTGTATGAGGAGTTTATTATTATTTTCTTCTATATTATTTCAATGTAGACAACTCACCATAGCCTGATTAGTGAAGGAATGTGGTAGCCACCAGGCTGTCCTGTACAAATTTAGGAACTGCAGTCCTGTGGCGACCAGTGTGAAGACGAACATCATCACTTCGAATAACAGCACCCCATCGTGAGGGATGTTTGGGAATGGGATGTGTTTTGGAGGAGGGGGTCCGTCGCTTTTCAGCTCTGCAAAGGCTGCCGCAGCAGCGCACGCTGTAGGCGCTCGGACTGAACGACCACGCTTCCCGTTGTCATCATCGACAACCGGCACACTACCCTGCACACATAAACCACACATGTTGACAACCATAAACAATNTAAACAACTCAACAAAAAATAAACACCAACCAAAATACCTTCTTAGACACCCCTGAAGACTTCTTAGATATCGGTGGAACCATTTTACAAGCGATCGGTGGCAGAGGTCGCTTGATAAGCGGATCCTTGATGATCTTACGCCGCCGCGAGATGGCTGTCGAGGATGAGCTACTGACTTGAGTATTAGCCCAGCGTCTAGCCAGGAGTATGGTTAAGCAGCCCACAACTGCAGGTAAGAAGAATACGACAAAAGGTCCACTGTCATTTTCCGTACAACTCATCACTCACATGTTAAAATGTTTTAGAATGTGTTACGAATTTGTATTTTATTTGGATTATTTTCGTTCCGCACACACCACTCATCACACGACGACTGTCAAACAAATGTCAAATTGGCAATTTTTTTTATAAACTTTATGACAAGAAAGCTTAGGCAAACGAATTGTAATTATTATTTTCTAATAATTTCAATATGACTTAATTTACATTTTAAACAATTTATGATTTTAATTATAGCAATAGTCATGAATATTTTCCACCACTTGGTGAAATACCAACTATAATCTATAATACAATGTGGAACTGGTAGAGAATACTTCTTAACATTTAGTCAGGCACGCATTCATTTGTGCTTTCTTCATGACTAGCACCAATTTTGTACTGAATTATGTAACTTAATATATTGAAAATTAGCCATTTACCTTAATGTAAACATTTAAAATTAATTTAGATGTTTATTTTAGAATTTCAGATGAATGAAACGAAGAGACCTTACTTTGATTGACGTTTCAGGAAATTTGACATCTTGTTTTCAATCGATTTTGACGAGCCGGTTTTCTTATCTTTGCACAATAATCATAATTAACGCGTAATTTGAAATAATATTATTATTTAAATTAATAATTTGTTAATAGCAAGATGTCATTTACAGTACTTTGTTCTTTCGCTTTAGCCTTCTATGTTGTAATATGGTTTTTTGACGCCTTCTTCAAGGTACAATTCAGTAGTCAATTTTCTCGTTTTTTTGTATTATTTAACTGTTTAAATAAATAATAAAATATTTTTTTGTAATTTTCAGAGTTGTATGCACTACCCGTATTACGCTTTCATGGAAGGAACTGGACTTAAAGTTGGAATTTTCAACTTTTCCTGGACCACTACAGCCTTCAACAGATTCATCTATAGATGGAGTAAAAACATGTCCCGTATTTTAAAGAAGTGGTTCAGCGTAGGATATGTGTTTACTGTGTGTTTATTCCTGCCATTTGCTATATGGACACTTATGTCGTTCATTATTGAGCACTTCTATGATTCTATACAAATAAATGGAATGCCTGAAGTCAAGGCGATGTTGCCAGGGGTAAATATACCTCTTTCTGACTTCTGGGTCTACTTCCTGTCTATCGGGTTTTGCAGCATATTCCATGAGCTCGGCCATGCCATGGCAGCTGCCCAAGAGGACGTACAGTTGATATCAGTTGGTGTGTATGTTTTTACAATCATACCTATAGCCTTTGTACAACTCAACACAGAACATCTCAACAGCCTAGCAATTGGTAAAAGACTGAGGATTTATTGTGCAGGAGTGTGGCATAACATTGCCACAGCATTTGTTGCTTTGCTATTGTTTTTCTCAGCACCAGTTTTGTTTAGTATAGCTTACGAGACTGATGTAGGAGTAAGAGTCACAGGGTTCACCGATGATTCCCCTCTGAAAGATGTCAGAGGTTTAGATAAGGATGACATAATCATGACTGTCAATGGATGTGACGTTAAAAATATAAATGACTGGACGTACTGTCTACACATGGCGCATGATCGATTTGGAATTTGCACAAGTGCTGAATTTATCGCTCAAAATGATGAGATTATGATGGAAACAGTGAAAGAAAATGATGTAGTGGAATGCTGCAGGAAAGATGATATTTATGGCTTTTGCTTTGAGTATATGGAACCCAAAACAGCAGACTCTGCCCTCCCAGGACAATATTCTTGCCTGAAGCCAAGAGACATGATTAAGAAGAAATTCACTAAGTGTTCTGAAGGAGGAGGGTTCCTCTGTCCAAGAAACACCCATTGCTTGAGGCCATCCTTGAATAACCACACATACTTGCTCATAGTTGAACGAAAAGATAATAATCCTGTGCTCTACCTAGGACTACCCTATGACTTGCACAAGACAGTTTTTGTTGATCAATATTTTCCTAGACTGGCCATATTTTCTTTCTTTTCCCCATCTCAATTTGAGAAGCTTCTCAGGTACATTTTCATTTTTTCCATGGGCATTGGATTTTTAAATGTTATACCTTGCTATGGAACTGATGGACATCATATAGCAAGGAATTTGATTCAAATGCTAGCTAAGTATTTGAATAAAAATGGTGATTTTGTTACATTTTTCACTGTTTTTACAATAGTTGTTGGAACTGGCATTACTGGCCCAGTGCTGTTGTATTTGTTTTATAAAACAGTTTTTGTGGATAATTGAGACTCAAATAGTGAGTGAGTTGGACATACTGAAGCTAATAATTTGTAGGTATTAAGAATTCCTATGAAAGTCTGAAGTCCGCCTATGTATGTTTTAATACATAACAGCGTGGGACTAAAAGTGAGCTTGGAGCTTCATTAATAATTGTAATGTAGTTGATGTGTATGAACAGTATTAGCATTAAAATACCAGCTCTATAAAAATGAAATGTGAAGGAATAGACAGTTAAGTTGCAATTTAGAAGCAATAGGTTTTTATATTGTTTTATTAACTAAGATTAATTTATTATTGCTAACAATAACTAATGTAATGTAACAGTCATAGTCATTTTGTGATTTTAACAAATAAAACTTAATGAGAATTTAAGTTTTTTATTCTAACTAACTTTTACTTAATGCGAGTGAACTTTGTAGATCTTTTAATGACTTCTTTCCGTAGTGGAGCATCGCTTTGATAGTTGTTTCATCTTTGTGGTGCATATTGTTCCTGAAGTCGGTACGCGCCCATTCTTTCAATTCTATTCTCGTATTTTCATCTGACACTAGTTTAATTGTGCGAAATATTTCTCTGTATAGTTTGAGTACTTCTTGGCGTATGAGGAACTGGAAATAAATAACAAAATTAGTTGTTTATCTTCAATAAACCTACCATAACCTCTAAATCATTTCTATTCCTATGATATGAGAATAGCAATGCCGTCATACAAAGTTGTAGCTAGAACTCAGGCAACTTAAGAAACTAACAATAATGTTATTAATCCACAAGTTCACAATAATAACAGGTCGTGAATCGTGAACTTACCTGTTTCAAACTCAATGCAGTTTTAGGTAATTTAGATGCCATTTCTCGGTCCAATAATCTGTATTATTGACTTATATGTGCCGTGTTATAATAAAAATCAGAAATCTGGAATTATCTTCCTCATTTTATGAAAATAATGTCCCAGGAAACGCACAATAACAAGAACAGCTGATTTTGCAGTGTTGCCAGTCGGGTCTAGTCAGAAATTACCAGAAATATAAAAAAAGTAACCTTCATACGGGGGGGGGGGGGTGCGGGGCGATGATTGTGTAAGGTTGTTCATGGATGGAAAATACGTTTCATGGATTTGCGTTTTATTATCGAAAAACATTCGCTGAAACTAATTTTTTTTAACAAATAATAAATCAAATTCAAGTTTAAATGCACTTTATGACATAATTTTTAAATTGTCACCTGTAAAGTACAGGTTATTCAGTAAAAAATATTAATTCTACAATTTCTGAAAAATCACCTAAAAGTAACCTTTTCATTAGTGTAACCTAAAAGTAACCACAGCAGTTCAAAAGTAACCTAAAAGGTTACAAAAGTAACCTTCTGGCAACACTGTAATTTTGACAGTCTGTGTTTGACAGTAATGACGGCAGGCCCTAAAATGACTTTTTTATTTTTCTTAAAGTCCGAATCAATGGTCGAAATATTTTCAATATCGATTTTAAGATAGTTTCACTAAACTAAAAAAAAACATTTTTTATAGCTACTGACGCCCGTTTTACCAACAAACTTATTGTAGGCAATCAGCTGATGATAAACCCTCCCACGATGTGCTATGTCGTCCAGTTCGTCCACCACAGGTTTGATGATGGATGATTTCACCAATAGATGACGCTACATGTAAATACGAAGCAGCTATTGATGCCCCATCAATCATCATTTACGACTTTACGACTGAGCTGAAAGCCTGAGACCAATCTTCATTTAATTTTAATTAATTCCACACTAGAAATTTTAACTATCCTGACGCTAGTTGCTGCTTTACTTACTCCTAACTGGAACATTTGCCCGGCCAAGCGAATGGTCGTGGGTTCGATTCCCACCGTAAACAGTTCGGTTTTTTCAAGTTATTTATGATAGCAAGCAAGCACCTAAGACCATCGCCTTTTTAATTTTAATTACTCAGATAGAAGATACCTGTAAAATCTTCGATCCTGTGGGTATATTTTAACTATCTCATACAGTGTCAGTGTTATCAACTGTGGTAAACGTCACAAGAATTGCCGTGTACCTACTTACTTTTATAATGTACTATCAAAAACATTGGCTTACTGAAAGTATTAGTTAGATAGGTAAGTAGCGCTACGTAGGTACGACGGCAAATAAAGTTGTATTTAATAAATAAATACTTTTTTCATATTCATATTTTTTGCAACATTACGATTTCTAGCCTATAGAAGAAAAACAGAGTAAATGACGACAAGGGTAGCCAAATTGACTACTTAGTTTAGGACAAAAACATCAGGGTTATTATTCTTCTAATCGGTAGATGGCGCTTCTTTCATGATTAATTAAACTCCTCCAGCTAATTCCGTCCGTAGGAAGCGAACTTTAAAAATATTAAAGTTTGATCGATTTAACATCGTAAATTCGGTAATGATGACAAAGAAACTCCGAGACTTGTAGGATCATTTTTATCAAAGGCATACATCAAGATTATTATCTACTTAATTAGTTAAAAGATGTTACTAGTCATTGCTCTCGTATTTTACAGTAGTCGTGAACTAATCGCTAAATTAAATACCAGTAAAATCAAGTCTAAGTACCTGCCTACCTAGCCTACCTTCTAACTTTGCTTGCTTGNCTTGCTTAATAGAAAAAGATAAATTACAATTATTTCTTAAATTGAAGCTCCTTACACAATATTTTGTGCTCCTTAAGTTATTGGGTAGCCTAAGCCTACCTACAGCCAAGATTCCGTCATCTAACAGTAGAGTAGACGTTGATTTTTTTATAGTCCATACGTATAAGTAGGTTGTTTTCATTTTGTTTACAAAACGCCAGCATAAATGGACAACCATTTCTGAAATCATGAAATAAAACATAACTTTATGCAACTCTACGAACGCTGCAACCGCCCAAGTACGTAAGCTCCGCCCAAGCGAACGCGGGAAAAGAGCTTTTACCGTTTCGCGACGAAAGCTCTGGCCAATGGCGGAGCCAGTCGCGCACGGATCGTCGCGCGGGCACAACGCAGGTTGAACCGCCGCTCGTGCGGGCAAAATGTTTACGCGAACTAACAAGCCGCACTACGCTACGAACTTTTAACAACTTCGAAAAATATTCCGAACTTTCTTTTAGTGATTTTTCGTACCAGTGTGGACTTTAACCGCTCAAATGGACAACAAATCGCCCACTGAGCCATCCCCGCCGCTGAGGGCGCAAGTGAAAAAGGAGAACGAAGAAGAAATCAAGGTAAGATACAATTTCAAACATTTCCTCGACATTGACGGGAATTTCCGTTGGAAAACCATCATCGAGTTACGACTTCGTCTTATTGGCAACCGGCCTGTTTCATCTCGTCTCGTAATAGGAGACGGTGGAGTCGTATTTTTAAATTCGATATTTTATTTGCGCCGCTCGCGAGGGGCCTCCACAAAGGCTCAGCCGGGGTTACGCCGAATAAATTATCTAGTATACGGTTACGATATTAATTACATTTCGCGATACACAATAAAACGCGTGTAATATCACGTTTTCGAGGCCTTTTCCAGCCATTAAAGTGTGTAATGCGATATCTGAAGCGCGCTCGGATCGCTGTAACCAGACTCGCTGGATGTTTTGATAATAGATATAGGCGGCGCTGCTGTGCGCGTGTATACGGACGGCTGCGCGCGAGTGTGAGTGCGGGTAATTTTAGACGTTCCTTTGCTCAAAACGTAACACGAGACCGTCCCAGGCCACAAGCCGACGCTTCAATTTATTGTTTTCATGTGATTATCTTCGTAGTTAGCCTGGTTGTGATGTGGCGACAGTAATTGTCTATCACGTATCTGTGCGTGCGATCGGCGATCTGCAGTCGCGCGCTTTATTTTGGCGCCACGGAAATAGTTTGACATGTCAATAACCCCATTGGCGGTGTCCACACGCGGTGACGTCATGGGACACCCGCGACGATTTGTGCGGGAGTTTGAGGTCGATTTAATTTATAGCATTATCCACGTAGATGACCTAGATTCTTAAGTGTGTTTTATTTTTATTTTTTTATTACACATATTAATGGCAAGCAGGCGTCTCGGCTCCGAGTTTTATATTTCTGGATGACACTGATAATAATAGTTTCAATGGTATCTGTCGACACCAATAAATTTATCTAACTAATAAAATTTGAATAGAAAAATCTCGTTTCATGAACGGTAACTTGCTGGACCAATAAACGTACACGTCCTGTTTTTGTCGATTGCCAGAAGTTAGATCATCGATGAATATAATAGACAATCTAAGTAGCCTCCAATGTCGACTCAAGCTGTTATTACACGCCGTAAATAACCGAGCATCGGTCGCAAGGAAGTTGCTGCATGCTCGCTCGACAAAGAACGGACACGCGTTCTAACGTTGCATGGTTCCGCTCGCGAATATACGCAAATTGCTTGGCTTTATGATGTTAAATTTTACCTCATGCTTTCCATTTACAAACTACATAATGGTCAAATTAATATGAAGTCTATCCATCACATAGTTTGCCTATCGATATCAGACCGTCCGTTCTTTCATAACTCGTCACGAAACTGAAAAAGATGAGCGTGCGGCAAACATTTTCGTTCTAAATGCAAATTTGGTAATGCATTGATGTGCTGATATTCCGCAATGATGCCCAATCGGTCTGTGGTGTATCGGTAAATTGATGCACAAGGAACGTGGGGCAGCACGCGATGCAATATGCAATCCATCGGGAGTGCCAAGCGGTAAGTCACACCGATGATTCATTATTGTTTATCTGGTTACACGCTTGCTGGTGTTTGAAAAATTGCTTCGCGAGGTGTCGGGTTTATCATGCAGGCTGTTGACCGATTAATCTCTGATGGATAGTCTTACAAAAAAGACCGAGAACCTGTGGTTTGTTTGTGGTTAAAGTTTTGATTATTAAATAGATCAAACTTTGTGAGACTAAAAGGTCGAGTACTCACAATAATCATAGGAGCTTTAATTTGATGTTACGCCTATCGTATCGTAAGCCTACGCCAACAAAAGTATAACCCTTCGCGATATTCTTATTTTAACCTGAAACAAAGTAATTCGATCTAGATAAAGTGTATTATGGTATTTCCGCATTAACGAGCTTTGCACAGACGACGGCATTTAGCTGTACAGTGGACCACAGTTCCAACTACCCATTTCGGTTTTTTCCGCTCTTATCAAATAGTAATTCTCTTCGATAGAACGAAAGACGACAGGAAATCCGTAAGTTGCCTACTATAATATTGCAGACAATGGTGACTGAGTTTGTTGCGGAGCTTCTTCTCAGCACTCTTGCCAAATGTTGGTCTCGAAGCGCTTAGTAGGGTAAAAAGATTATGAGACACGTAGAGGCTCCTTAAGAGCAAAATATTTGTAGTACTATTTTTTTTTAAAATAAAGAAATTTTGACTTTGACTTTGTGGTATCTTGAGTAGATGTAGATGCTATTCTACAAAAAAAAAATGAATTGCAAGATGTGATGTCGACTGTACTTGTATGAAGCGGACACCACTGCGCTTGCTCGTGCGCAGATTATTAGGCCAAGGCCGCGTCAGTTCGCAAACTTATTTAATTATATTACTAACGACCACACGTGAGTTCCTCTGCATAAAGTTCGGGAGAGACAAATTGCGCACAATATGATAGTCAAAATTGATAATGATGTCAAAGTGAATTACAAACGTCAGGGTCTCGAAAAAAGAGAAGACACCCTGTCTGATGCTGTTGAATAAAATAACAAAACCAAAGGCTAACGAAATATTTTTCACATTGTCGCAAACGGATCAGAATTTTCCTAAAGAGGCTCTCCTGATTTCCTCACCAGAACAAACGAAAGGATTGACGTTGCTTGCTTGGATCTCTAGTCACAGTAAGTATTCCTAGCTAAATCAAATATTAGTGAAGTTCCGTGGGTTCAATCAGTCAATCAGCGTTAAAGTTCATTCTCATGATCTCAGTAGTCTTGCTGGTAATCACTTCATGGTAGCTATACTGACGGAATGGTATTAAGAATGGTAATTATAACAAAAATATTTTGGAACCCAATGTTTTTGACTCCAACACGTAAGTCTGTGCTTAGTATGAGGCGTGACCGCGTGCCGCAGTTGACCACGCACTTTGAAGTTCTCGTAGCAAAGATTAGATTTTATCAAAGTTCCTGATTACAAGTCTTAAGTTTTATTGAACCAAGCGTTTGATCTTGGATCTTTTTAAAATAAAATAAAAGCGCAAACTGACACTGAAACCCCTGATCGCGAGTGTTTTGGCGTGGCCCATCCGCGTCGGCTATTTACAGCGCGCGTTTGAAGCGCGGCCGCCAGAGGTCAGCACGCACACGGTCAAGGAGATGATCTTTTTAGCTCGTTTTCTCAGTAATATTTGGATGTAAAGGGCAAATTGTGAATCACCACATTAATAAGCAATAAATAAACCACACTTAGAAAAAAAACTTTTTATTAACACTGTTGTGTGGTCGAATTTCCTTGCGTTTCAATAAACCGCACTCAGAAAATGTCCTGAAAACTTTTTGTTACTGATCTTAGTTCCTCCTTGCGTCTCTTACTGAAAATGACGTTAACGGATGAGTATCCAAGACTTCGCATTGTTCATTCATAATATTCACAAACATAACAATGCGGCAATTAAAAATATCTGATATATTTTAAGATGCAAGATCAATCGCCGCACGTATCACATCTCAACCGGCTCAACGTTAAGCTGTTACAATAATTACGACAACAATATAGTGTAACGAACATGTAAAGCGAATGCGGGGTGCGAAGGGAGTGCGACCCGACACCCGGGTGTAAGCGACACCGGTCATGCGACGCCTCTGCATTGTACGTCTTTGGCATGAACTAAACGTGGCAGAAGGGGCCAATGTTGGGAAACTTGGGAAGCACTTCGTGATTTTTAAAAGCGTATCCATTAATCAATTCTTCGTAGGTACCTACATCTCTGTAGAGACTTAACATTGGCATAAAATAAACGTGGCAGAAGGGGCCAACATAGGGAATAACCCGGTTCGTGATTTGTAGAAGCGTATTAATCAATTTTTCATACCTACATCTTTGTAGACACTTCACTTTGGCATAAACTGAACGTGGCGATATTAATCAATTTTATCCTTGGTGCCTACACCTTTTTAGACATCTTAGAGTATACAATGAAGGTCTCAAAGGTTTCTTTTTTGGAAATTCCATAATAATATACATTTCATTGGAATGTCTGTCAGATTTGGCTTTTTATCACAATCTCGTCGACCGAAAATTCTTTGAAAAAGTCCCTCAATTCTAATATTGGTAGTGTTCTCAGTTCACATTCAATATGGTTAAAAACAACAACTACGATTGAGAAAGTCTTATCATTAGGAGAAATCAGGATAAAGCAGTTTTTAGGCAGGAAACTTATCACTGACCATTCTGCCAGCAGTTTGTGCTCTATGCCCGAGGGTGGCGAACAAACACCACTCCTCAGCGGGAGGCGTGTGTGCAAGTACTGGAGTCGAATGTCCAGCGGCGAGCAAATTGAACCTTATACATTCACCCGTAAGGACGACACATGATACCCGCACGAGATAAATCTAGCTCAGAATTCAGACCTGAAGCGAGGCACGGGTTCAGGCTTGTATATCTTCTAGGAAACAGTTAATAAAGACTTATGTTTTGCCACCATAAATACTTCGGAATCGTTTATAATTAATTAGTGAGCGGCATAATAATTTATTTGTTGTCCATATCAAAAAATCTGTCATTGAGCAGCAACCGCAGAAAATAGAATCCAAAACAGAGTTACTTATCTGTTTATCTTGAAACAGTATAAACCCGGCCGATGTAATTTCATAATCATGGTTGTGTACGGAAGATCTGACACAAAAACTGTTGGTGAGGGTGTCATGTGTCAGTAACGCGAGACGCCGGGGCCGGGTCTCAAAATGTTTTACTGTTTGTGTTGGAGTAACTTGAAACAGACGGTATTCATTTTATGTCCCGCGTTTACTGGACAGTTATATGAAATTATTGTTGTATGGTCGAATTTTGCAAGGCTTGGCTTTTGCGACACATTCGGTATGAAAAAGGACATGCAAATAACGATATTTGGTGCACTCGCCTAAGTGGCTACCCGCTGTTTTTATAAACCTTCTAAATTAGGAATTCCCATAGCCCTTTCAATAAAAAAGTCGACTTTAATTCCAAGCAGATACATATCAGCAGCAGATATATTACAGAACAGGAGAT